TTCCGAAATTGGGGGTTACTTCCAGAATCTGTCTTCCTGTGTCGCAATCGTTAGTTAACCTGGAAATTCTCATATTCATTGTTGGTGGGTTCGGCTGAGATCTCCGAAAGTTTCGATCTTCTGTGTCAATGGCGGCTTTTCTGAACAGATTCTGTCGGAGAATAGCTTGTTCGAGGTCAGTTCATGGAATCAGGGGGTTATCGATGGCGGCGAGCGAATCAGAAGCTGGAAATTCGTTGAACCTCTACTCAGCCGTCAACCAGGCGCTTCACATCGCCTTGGACACTGATCCTCGGTATGAGATTTTTCTGTTCTTTGGCACCATTTGAAAAAGTTTCTGCGTTCCTTGTTCATTGCATCTATCTCCATGCGTGTTGGTGATTCAAAGTTTCTATATTCAGTTTGCTATCAGATATATCATGTCGATGCACAGAACTCTGTCATCTAACGATTCTAATTAGGAACAAAAAAGACAGCAAAAAACGATGTCTTGATGAATGTTGTATCCGTGAGGATTAGGGTTGCTACCAGGTTTTGTGCCTTCTGAGTAAATGTAGTGTGAAAGGAGAGACCCTTTTTTCTAATGAAACTGGTTATGATCTGGTTTGAGGTTCTGATGTTCTTGGTGCAACTCTTGTGGAAGTTCTTATGTCTTTGGAGAAGATGTCGGCTTTGGAGGAGTTTTCCGCTGCACGACAGGATTAGCTGAACGGTTTGGGAAACAACGAGTATTCAACACTCCTCTTTGCGAGCAGGTAATCTCTCCTGATGCTCCATTGATGTTTCGAGGATGGTGCACCTTTGATCATCTGATAATACATTCTTGAAACCAGGGCATTGTTGGATTTGGCATTGGTCTGGCTGCAATGGTGAGTTTTTGTTCTTGCCTTCTGCAGGATATGGGGAAACTATATGTGGGTGTGGCGCTGTGGTAATATATATTTTGCTGACCGATTTTTAACAGGGAAATCGAGCCATAGCAGAAATCCAGTTTGCAGATTATATCTATCCTGCGTTTGATCAGGTAAACATCCCTTCCAGATTAAACTTTGACTCATTCTGCATGGTCTCCATTTGTTTTGACGGGTTTTCTGGTACGTAGATTGTTAATGAAGCTGCAAAGTTCAGATACCGGAGTGGTAATCAGTTCAACTGTGGAGGTGCTTCCCGAGATACTTTGTCATCCCATCCTGTAGTTTCCTCTTGCCTCTGGAGTCTGGACATCGAAATCATTATGCTCATTAGTTTATTTGAATCTGTTAGGGCTCACAATAAGGGCACCATATGGGGCAGTTGGCCATGGTGGACATTATCACTCACAATCCCCTGAAGCTTTCTTCTGCCATGTCCCCGGTATCAAAGTACATCCTCTCTGCTTATGTTCTAGCCAATCCTCTTTCCTTCGGGATTTTCATTGAAACGATTATTGAGCTTTCCCTAAAGGATTTAATGATAAATTGTTTTTTCAGGTTGTTATCCCTCGGAGTCCACGTGAGGCGAAAGGACTGTTGCTGTCATGCATCCGTGATCCAAATCCCGTTGTCTTCTTCGAGCCAAAGGTACTTCCTTTCACTTAGAAGTTAGACACCATGGCTTCATGTCCTGAACATCACCTGAATGTCTTAAGCATTTATGTCTAGTGGCTGTATCGTCAAGCAGTAGAAGAGGTCCCCGAGCATGATTACATGATACCGTTATCAGAGGCAGAGGTATATGAAGTTCATTTTTGGGCTGTCTCTTTCGAGAGATGATGACACACGCAAGAGACTGACAAGAAGAATAATTGCCAGGTCATAAGAGAAGGGACAGACATAACACTTGTTGGATGGGGAGCTCAACTCACCATCATGGAACAAGCATGTCTTGATGCCGCAAAGGTTAAATGACTGGTTTTTTAGCTTTCTCTATTTGACATTTATGCTCTGATTGATAGTTTCTCTTTATTTTTGCATGATCTATCAAAGAAATGTTGGTCCAATCTTTTTTGCAGGAAGGAATCTCATGCGAACTGATAGATCTCAAGACTCTAATCCCGTGGGACAAGGAAACCGTCGAGGCATCTGTCAGGAAAACAGGCAGACTTCTGGTAAGTTAATAGAAAAGCAGGCACGCTCGAAATTCTCGCAGCAGATTTCTGTCTGCCCTATAACTTTTTGGCGGTTCTTTTGGTTGCAGATTAGCCATGAAGCTCCTATAACCGGAGGTTTCGGGGCAGAGATATCTGCTACAATCGTGGAACGTTGCTTCCTGCGGGTAAACAAATCTTAATCGTCCCGTGATCTTAAGAGAAAACACGAACATGAACAGCGATAACGAGACTCGTTTCCTGCAGTTAGAAGCCCCTGTGTCCAGAGTTTGTGGCCTGGACACTCCATTCCCTCTAGTGTTTGAGCCATTCTACATGCCCACCAAGAACAAGGCATGTTTTTTCTGGTTTTCCCCTTGTCTTGTCTCTTGCACGATCTTTTTCTTCTTACAGTGACTTCTTCCTATATCTGTTGCAGATTTTGGAAGCTATCAAATCAACTGTGAGATATTAGCCAATCCACAATGGAGTTTAATTGGTGGTGTGATTCATATGTTAGATGGAAGATATGGAAATGGCATTATTCTTGTGGTGTCAACTGTGTGAATAAAATTATATTCACTTTGTAGAATGAACCTTTAAGGATGAATAATAAAAGACAATTGTAGGGATATTATATAAGAAAAGAAACAAAAAAAAGTATGTATATATATTTGTTTTGTTAAAAAAAACTTATCTGCTTCATTTGAACCTTAAGTTTGTTTTGGGCTTCTGTGGGCATATATGTGTGTATATATATATATATATGTATATGTCCAAGTAGAAGGAATGTTTGTTGTGGGAATTTATGGGTTTCAATTTGAGAAATTCATAATAATGTCATATTAGTTGTGGGCTTTTTATAGACTTTTTCTGGCCCATTTCGAGTTTAACTTCTTGTTGTGGGTTTCATCTTGAAAGGTCCAATTTATAATTATGTATGTTTTATTTATTTGTATGGGCTTGTCTCGAAAGGCCCAAGTTAAGTTATGTTTAGTGTGGGCTTTTATGGGCTTCCTTTAGACAGGTTATAGGTTTTTATGGGCTAATTAGAAGTTATGTTGTTTTTATGGGCTCATTTTCACATGGATGGATCCAATTCAAGTTTTTGCATATATTTTGATAGGCTTTTTTAAATATCTATCAGTCGATACTGTATATAGTTTAGATATTGATTTTATTAAAAAAAAACTGGGTTTTTAAAAATTTTTAATTGCGTAGTTAAATTTCGAAGAACCGTACGAAACACCCTTAAATTTTGTACATTACATTAAGAGATCTAAAGATCATAGACAAAATTATGAAGGAAAACCACTACTAAACCAGTGTCGAAATGTAGAATGTAATAAACGACCATTATTACAAAGAAAAAAAAAGGGCAAAAAACACGAATGTTTCTTTTCGAAGAGACCCTTTCACTTGCATGAGTATCCGAGACATTTATACACGACAAAAAACCGCGGGTAACAATTCAACCAACCATCATCAATATTCACAGCTCTGCACAAATAGATTTCAAAAGCTCAATCAATTCTTGAACCAGTTTCAGATTGAGAACCTGAGTTTGACGAACTGTTATCCCGAGACGACGAGAACAGACTGCTCAACGGCCATGGAAACGAGAAGCCTCTTCCATTCCCGCTCCCGTTACCGCTTTCGCCCTCTTGACGAACTCCATCTCCGTTGCCATTACCAGGACCAGAACTACTACTCGCATTACTGTTGTTGTTGTTGTTGTTGTTTCTCAATCTGTCTGAATCGGTCTTTGGTTCATCCATAGGAAGCTGATATCTGCAGACAGGGCATGAACTGTGAAGCTCCAGCCATGGTAACAAGCACTGGTTATGGAACCTGTGCTTACAGGGCATCTCTCTCGCCTCTGTCCCGATCTCGAAATCGTCCAAACACACCGAACACTGACAAGTTTCTTCAATTTTCAACCAGGGCAAAGCCTTGACTGCCTCTTTCTGAGCCGGAGGAGTTCCATATCTATTCGGGTCATTCTCCGCCAAACGCTGAAGCAATGCATCAAACCCGGGTCCAATGAAATAATCGCCCAAAGATCCAACTGGAACGGGATTCACATCATAAGAACCCTGCAACATGATCGTCTGATTGAACGGATTGATCAAGATCACAGGCTCTCGTTCTCTATCTGTACCCGGGTCTTCCCTGTTATTCTCGTTGTTCTCAGTTTCTAATGATAACCCCTGAAGCAACTGCAGAATAGCAGCCGAATGCCTTCTTCTCCTCCTTCGAATCTCCTCGAGTTGTCGATCCAAATCACTTTCTCTACCATTACTGGATCCATTATCAGCTCCATTATCGCTCTGATCATCGTTATGTTCGATGGATTCAGTGCCCAGTTGGCGATTTGGATTGTTCATCATCCCCATCAAGATTGGAGCCCACAATGAAACCGGAGCTCGATGGTGAAGGGGAACTGAATCTTGGATGTCTTCCATCTCCTCAATGAAACCACTTTGACAAAAGGGGCATTTGATCTCAGCCTCCATTACAGGATTCACCATCTGTGAGCACATATGACACCAGTACCTGGTTGCCATTGCTTCCTCCATAACAGATCCTCGTGTTATCTACCATGGCCAAGAATAAGAAACGATGAAACTAAACCAAACATTAATATACTTTCTAAATCAATGGATCAAGCTAAAGCCTACGAATCAATATGCCGAGAAGAATCAACACGAAATTCTCATAAACCCATTTGACTTTTCAATAGAAAACTCCGCGAGATGATTTGAAAAAGGAGAAGCAGATTCGAGATGGAAAACCCAGAAAGTTTTCGTTTTTTTAAATTAAAGTGATCGGTCAAAGGTGTATACTTTTTCACGGATCCGAAACGGAAACGAGAAGACGTGTTCAGGGCAACCTGTATCCCTTTTCCTCTTCAAACAGCGAAGAATTACAGATTGGGAACTGAAATTGAGAAGATTCCGACAACCCAGAAGGTAAAAATTGAAGAGCAACTCCGGCGTCCGACAAAGAAATCATAAACAAGAAGTTCTTCTCTCGTACCTTTCAACAGCAAAAACAAGGGCGGATTTTTAGGCACCAAACAGACAAATTCGAGAGACCCAGAAGAAGAAATTCCTCTCTTTTCCAAAGTAATTCCTCGAGGATATAATTTTGTGAAGGCGTTTATATACGGATGAAAATCGAAAGGGGAGAAGGCTCGTGGGAAAATGGGAAGGTAGGTGGGAGAGAGATCAGAAGATGGAAGGATCGGGAATTCCGATCCGTGGTCGAAATATGCTGCAGATCCACGCAGGTTTTGACCTAATTAATTTGATAGCTAATTCCCACACGCAAATAATGATTCAAAGCCTCAATTAGAGGATGATTACTGCTGCTGGAGCATTCTAGAACCAAAGACTTGGCCTTTTTCCTTTTCAACTTGTTTTGCTCGTGGGGCTTTTTGTTCTAATTCTGGTATTAGTCAACTCATGATGATGGTGATTTCGAGTTTCGATTCGACATTCAATTGATTCGATTAGAGAAATGGTATTTTCGGTTTTATAAAAATTATACCAAATTAAAACCAAATGTCAAACGGTTCGGTTTGATTTTAATGTCGATTCGGTTCAAAACAATATTGTTATATCAGTATCAAACTATAATATTTATAAATATATTGGTGGATAATTCAGATTTTGATTCGATTTTGTTGGATTCAGTTTGATAATTGTACGGTTCGGTTCGAAAACGGTTTACTCGATTCTATAAAAATGTACCAAACTAAAACCGAGTGTTGAGCAACATTCGGTTTGATATTATCTGCTTACGATTCGAAACTAAATTTGAGTCTCCACCTAATTTTTCCTGGGAGACGCGGCCCTCCTATATCCTATTTATACAAAAAATTTAACTTATTAAAACCCGAAATTAAATCAGTTAGTTGTTTGTATGTGGTAATGAACAAACAATATTATAAAATAGAGAGAACTAAGTCAAAATGCACATGACTTGATTCAGAATCATGCTTTTAATACAACAAGAAAACTATAAGCATGTGTTTCTAGCATATATATATATATATATATATATATATACGTGTGTGTAATGTATATGCACGATGTCGGATAGGATGTTATACCCCTTGTGAGGATTATGAAGCTGATAAATTGAAATTGAATCCAGAGATTGAGTTAGATGATGAACGCGATTCAGACATCAAAGAGACCAGACCAGCTGAACTGCAGGTGCATCAGAGGATGACATAAATATAGATGATTGGGCATTTGATGATGAACTACTAGGCACGGATAATTGAGATGATTCCCATAACTCGAAAGTGAATCCAGAGATACTAAGGATGAAGGGGTAGAAGAAGCTCCTTGATCGAGATCTATGCCGCAAATGGTGAACGATTTTACCAAATAGTAAATCAAAAGAATGTAGTCGGTTCTGTACAAGTAGATACAAATGCAGGTGACAATGTTCGAGGAGTAGATGAAGCAGTTGTCGATTTATCGCCCAAGACTCTGCTACTTGTCACAGATCCAAATGGAGATTTTGCAGGAACAGCAGCTTCAGTGGACGGGGCAGAAACTTGAGAACTAAAACCTTTGCTCGGCCGTTATGGTCCTTCTAGTTGTTTGCTTTTGAACTGTATTCAGACAAGAGACAGCAGAAGTGAATCTCATGGAGAACACAAAACGAACTTTGGATGATCACTAACTAGAACTGACTAAAAAGTACAGTCATAAAACATAGCTTGTAAGACCGACAAAGACTGGGCTATCACAATGAGCTAAAGGGCATAAAACTTATCAGCAGTATACCTTCTCATGAAGAGAGCCCACCAAAACGAAATACGAACGTTCACAAGTGGGACATCCACGAGACCCTAACCCTTCCTATCAATCTCCTTGGCAGAAGAAATGAAATCCTTTTGTCCTCACAAAAAAAAAACCCTAATTTCACACAAAAACACGATCACATGCATGAATATTCCCGAGCAAACTAGCGCATTCACCAACCATGAACTGACCAGAGTTATAGGAGATGAAAATGATGTCGGATTCTCGAGATCGAATTGGCCGTCGTCATGCTTGATAGGGATTGGTTTGCCCATCCTCTCAAAGTAGTAATCGGTCTTTACCAAAAAAAAAAAGGTAGTAATCGGTCGTTTCGATAGGAGACCACATTATCTTCTTCGATCTCAACCTTGTTCATCTCCGAAAATCTCCGCTTACTTCTGCCGCTTCAATGGCGAGGGTTTTGAACTTTGAAGAGGTTTTTGGGCGGGAATGTGTATGGACAAACCCTAGCTCGTCGGAAATATCATCGCGGGGAATATAACGGTTGATCTGGTAAGTGATGGTTTCAAATTTGGGCCGGACCAAAATCTCTGAAGGGCCAATTTTTCCGGTTCGGTTCACTTGACCAATCCGGTTAAGTGTTTTACGGTTTAAGTGCTTCTCAAACGGCGTCGTCTCGAGTCATCCTGTGACTCCTGTCCACGTCCACGTCATCCTCTGCTGCTCTGTCGTCGAGCACAAAACAGAGATTTGAGCATCGCTGATGAACATGTCCTCTTGTCGATAGTTCAATTTTGAAGAACTGGAAAATCTATTAATCCGGTCGATTTCTTGATCTACCTCGCTAGGTAATCTGATTTCATTTCAGATTCTTCGTCGGATTTTTGTGTTGATTTTTGCCTGTCAGGATTGTTTGATGACGGAGACGATGAGGATGGGGATTAGTGCGGCGACGTTGTTGGTGGCTCTGATCGTCGTTGCTCGCGTCGACTTGGGATCGACTTCTCCTTCTAATGTGCCTGCTCTCCTCTGGTCTCCACATCTCTAGTTGCGTCTCTTTTCTCTTTATTATTCTCTAATATAGTTTTAGAAATTCTCGAACTTTTGTGCTTTCGAATGTGCTTTTCGAAATCCGAATTGGGTGTTTTCTGTAACAAACCAAATTTTCAATCTTTCTGATCCGAATGTGAGAGATAGAAGAAGGTCTGCGAGTTGTGAATTGGAGTGGTAATTTAGCAGTGAATGAATTTTTAGGCATATAGATGAAATGCTTGGTCCGGTTGTGTATATGGTTCTTAACATTAAGAAACGGCAGACCTGCTAATGGTGAATTGGATGAGGCTGTAAATTATCAAGTCATGTCTGGAAAGGATCTTGTAAATTCTGTTCTCAATCAAGGAGGTTGGTCAAACTTTTTGGTATTGTTCTTCATTTGTTCATCTCTCTCTATCTCTCTCTCTCTCCCCCTTGAGCAAAACATTTTAGTTCTTGAACGCACTGGATTTCACTTGGTTGTCTCCTGTCTCCTGTTTGTTGTGTATGTTTATGAAGTGCTCGGAGAAGAAATTGCAGCACACTGTTGATCTTGCACTTGTGTTCATTGGCAAAGAGGTAAGATTGTATTCAACTATCAGCAATCTATGGTGGCTATTACTAACTTACTATGAGATGAATGATATAGAAACTTTGATGGCATAGCATTCTTATATTTGACTCCCAAGTTTTTTGCTTTTCTTGTTGGAACTTTGTTAATAAACTTGTGTCGTCTTTTTAGTTTTTACTGAAGTTTTTTTTACCGACGGCTATGTTTTCCACGCATTGATAATGTCATGTTTCCTACAGCTACTCTCTTCTGACGTTTCTTTGAAGCGGAACTCAGACCCAACCCTTGTTGGCACGTGAAGGTAAGTTAAAATTCACCTTAATAGGTTAATTGTAATCTACATCAAGTCTCATATAGCAGTGCTTCTTTGAACATAACCTATTTACAGCTTCCAACTTCTCGCTGGCATTCCCATTTATTGTTGCGCCGGAGGAGGAAAGGATGAAAAATTTATTGCTTTCGAGACTCGTAGAAGCTTGCTCTCGCACTTTTGGAGTCAGCGATGTTGTGTTCTCAGAGTCCTGCTTTGTCAATGATGGAAGGGTTCAGAAGCTAGCAAACTTGCAGTCTTTCAAAGTAAATTCGATTGTTCTAGAGTTTTATTTTAAACTCCTCATTTTATGATTTTGGATCTTCCACCTTGCCCCACCTCCCTTTCTTTCCTCCTGACTTTACTCTTTACTCCTAATGGTTAGTAGGATCATTTGCTTGTTAGAAGAGAAATGAGAAAAGAAGGGGAAACTGACATGTTTGTGCTATGCTGTGAGGGTTCTGAATTATCTGGTCCAAATGACGAGTCGGCTCAGAGGGTAAGTGGCGGTCATGGTTAGAATATGAGACTCGTGTTTGGTACTCACTTAAGTTTCATGAAAGTGTTGTAAAAATGTTTGTCGAACCCATTATGCAGGTGAAATCATCTCCGAACTTGCCAATTCTGTGGAGCAGTCTGGAACTAAATATGCAGCACTTTATGTTTCTGATCCCTACCGATATACTTCTTACCAAACCCTCTAGAGGTTTCTGGCCGAAGGGGCTGCAGGAAACAACTCAGTCAATGCCACGACAACCTGTGACTTTTATTTTTGTCAAATAAACATTAAACATTTTAAATAAATTTAAAAAACACTAAATTTTTTAAATGATCCAAAGAAATACATAAATTTTCATGTGATTGTCAAAAAAAATACTAAACTTTTTAAATAATTCAAAAAAATACATAAATTATATATAGTTGTAAAAAAAAACCAACGATAATAATTTGACATGTTTGCATCTCCATGTCACCTCATTAGTTTATTTTGACAATCCTAAAAAGATTAAGTGTTTTTTTACAAATTTTAAAAGTTTAATATTTATTTGATAAAATCAAAATTTTAATATTTTTTTATCAAAATTAAAAAATTCAATATTTTTTTGGATTTTTTTATAATAATAATAATAATAATAATAATGAAAAACTAAGACTTGAAGTGTCTTGAGAACATTGTAACTCTGATAAACTAGAATACCTTTTCGCTGTTTTGTTATATGATGGAAACAATGTTTTATGCCATTAATATGACAGAGAACTCAGTACAAGTTTCACGGCGTGTATGGATATGAAGGATACATGTCTGCATTTGTTGCTTCATCATCGTTCTTTTATTTTTCCAGGGAATTGTTTTGCTTCTCATATTGATATGTGACCTTTGCTGTATGGTCGAGATAGACACTTCGGCTAGATTCAAGACTCCTCAAGAATCCTGAGTTGTAGAATTCACCCGCTTGGTCAGAATCTGGGGTTTTATGCACTACGCATGGTGAAAGGTGCTCATGTCCATTATTGTTTTACATTACATGAAGTTGCACGCCACAATCCCATGGAAGATATCTATATATATATATATATATTTGTTTGTTTTTTTACTGTTTTGTGTCGCTGTTTATATTGTCTGCTAGGGGCGAGAAGAGGAAGCTTTGAATAGAGAGCATAGTATATATGGATCATCTAGGGTTCCCAATGATCAATTCATTATTCCTATCTAACTATCCGTGGGTACATAGACAGATGTTTGGGGCATCGTCGTAAGTTGGAAAAGGACGTACATGAAATTAATATTTGACACTTCTTGGGGACGAGGAGAGAGAGAATAATAAATTAAATAAATCAATAACAAATTGTATGAAATGTATCTAGTTTCACGTGGTATGAGGAATTATCCCGCTAAATCATCCTTCTATTATCCACCAAACCCACCTAACCCACTCTAATGACCAATAGTGTATATATATATATATATATATATATAGAAAACAGTGAACAGAAAAACAAATATTTATGAAACTCCAAGACAATTGAGATGTGTGTGTGATTTCTTTTAATTTTCAATTTTATGAAAATTCAAAGATTGGGACTTTGCAAAAATGGTTGTTTATGGAACTCAAGGCAACCCACTGTATGCAAAAGTAGATGCATGTGAATCAGTTCAGCACAAAACCCAAATAAGATTGCAGCAAAAAAAAGGCAAAAGGGAGGGAGACTGGCGGAAATCAGAAACCAATCTTATGTAATTTCATATTTTTTTTTAGGACGAAGAGAAAGAGAGCAATTGTCAATGGCATTTTACAAGATACAAGTGAATATTTTTACATAGTCTTAAGTTTTTTCAAAATGAAAATGATTATAAAAATTTTGATGTTGGCACTAATAACAGATTTGTTCAGAGCTATTATTATTTTTTGCCAATTGTTATCTATCATCGTATATCCATTCGTCTATGACAATAGAGAGAAATAAATAAATATATAAATATATATATATAAAGAAAACAAGAGGAAAGAGAAAGTTGGAGAGTAAAAAACGCCAATTTGGTAACAGAGAGAGAGAGAGAGGGGTTAGCTCTGCTCCAACTGGGGTAGGGACTTCGTGTGACTTGGTCGATAATTACCACTATCTTCTTCTTCTTCGTCTTTCTCCGCAAACCCTAGTTTCCCCGATCGAAGCTCTTCCCCTTCCTCATTTCTCAATTCGCTCCTGTTACCTCTCAGATCAACCGCCTATTCATCTCTAGCTCTTGTATTGATCGATCGGCGGATCCATATGGAGGGGAATTCCGGCGGAGGTGGAGGAGGAGGAGCCAGCGGCGGAGCGGCGGCGGCGGTGGGTGGCGGAGGAGGTAACGATGTGGAACTGGTGAGCAAGACGCTGCAGGTGGAGCACAAGCTTTTTTATTTCGATCTCAAGGAAAATCCTCGTGGTCGGTACCTGAAGATATCGGAGAAGACGTCGGCGACGAGGTCAACTATCATTGTCCCTTCCTCGGGAATCTCCTGGTTCCTTGATCTCTTCAATTACTACGTCAACTCCGACGAACACGAGCTCTTCAGCAAGGAATTGCAGCTCGATTCCAAGGTTTTTGTTCTTAGATTCATTGGTCTCCTCTGATTTTGTCTGTTTGGCTTTGACCTTTTATTTCTCTGTCCTGCTTCTTCAGGTCTTTTACTTCGACATCGGCGAGAACCGTAGGGGACGCTTCTTAAAGGTACCCTGAGATTCAATCTCTTGATTGTGCTGCTTTTTTTCGGATTTTGACTGTTATGAATTGAATCTAGAAAGCAAAGAATTGTACTTTTCATGTTGATTATGCAGTAACTTACAAGAATGTTGACATAAAGGGGTTTGTACCTTTTTTTTTTCCTGCTTGTATCTCTGATGGGTGTGGTTTACTCTTGTCAGGTTTCAGAAGCATCTGTTAGTAGAAATCGTAGCACTATTATTGTTCCTGCAGGAACCTCCCGTGATGAAGGTTGGGCAGCTTTCAAGAACATCTTGGCTGAGATCAATGAGGCATCAAGGCTTTTCATGATGCCCAATCAGGTAGTAGCTTCTTATGTTTCTCTTTGTGTGTGAATATACACATATATATGTTTCAGAGTCTCACTTCTTTCTTTGTCGGATGTAGCAGCCTTCTGATGCACAGGAACATCTAGTTGGACTTTCGGATGATGTAGGAGTTGGCTTCATATCCGGCCACGGTAGCCAGCCACAATCATCATCTGAACTGACTGTAGAACGATCAGCTGATCTCCCAGGCCAGGATGAAATTGGAATGATGGGTGTCTCGAAGGTGATCAGAGCCGATCAGAAGCGATTCTTCTTTGATCTCGGGAGCAACAACAGGGGCCATTTTCTCAGGATTTCTGAGGTAGTAATCTAAAAGGACGATCTTTCTGCTAAATTCCTTGAGAGGAGTGGTTTTGATTCAACCTCTGTTTTCGAGGTTTAGCATCTCTGAAATTCATGAATTGCAGGTGGCAGGTTCTGATAGGTCCTCCATCATCCTCCCCTTATCAGGCCTTAGGCAGTTTCATGAGGTTATTGGTCACTTCGTGGAGATTACCAAAGACAGAATCGAAGGGCTGACTGGTGCAAATGTCAGGACAGTGGATTCGCCTCAGAGATGAGTATCCATATTAAGGTGACCAGTAATGGGATGATGGGAATCCCATCCTCTAACATTGGAGTTTGAAGATTCAAACAGCTGTCTGATCATGGTGTGCAATTGTGTCAAGTAATTTATCGCCTCTTCCTGTTCAAAGTTTCGAAATAATCCAGCCGATTGATCTGTCTGAATAGCAGATAAATCATGGAGATGCTTGCCAAATTCTAGCCTCCAACTGGGAATAATGCTTAAATCATTTAAAACTTGTACCTCTCCTCCTCCCTCTATCCTTCTTTAGTTCTTGTGGAACCTCAAACGATTTGACGGTTTGAATAATGGTAATTTCTCATCCTTCTTTTTCTTCTTTGGTTTTCAGTTTCGGCCTCAATCTGTCCAAGCTATTTCCTTTACTTCAGATCCAGATTCGATGCTTTGGTGATTCTGTTGACAGGTTTATGCATTTCGATCGTAAAAAGGAATTGTTTTGCTGTGGATTTTGAGATGATGGTTCTTTACAATTGTATATATGACCCTCTTGTGAGAAACGATGATTATTGTTTTTCCTTTCTACTAGGGAACATAGAATCCTTGTGCCGATGCGAACCAAAACTTTCTTCTTCATTTGATATTGTAGTATTTGACGATTAGATTGAAAAAAAGAGTAGGAACTTGCAGATTCCAGACAGTAAGAACAAAGTGTTGATATAGGGAAAAAAACACTTCAATTAGGAAAGGGTTAATTATAGTAGTACACTCATGATAACCCCCACTTGTGGAAGAGCCCACTTGTAGTAAAAGCTCGTTGGGAGAGTTTTGTTGAGTTGGGTGAGTTTATTTAGCTGTAAATTGAGGGCTTGGGCAAGTCCTTGACGATACCGCAGAGGCCGGCATTGAGGGGGATGTTGTATTCATCCCTTAGCGACTTTTCGGGGGAGAGAACACTAACGTAAAGCTGCTGACCCAGGTACCTCCTCTCCCAGTTCTCCGACCTTATGTTCCACATTCCCGCATTGTCGAATGTTAGTAGGATTGCCGACCACGAGTTCGGGTAAACCTGCACTGTGTGCCTGCTCACTGCATCGAGCAAGTTGTAGTTCTCTCTCTTTGCAGGTGACCACCTCCCTGGCTCAGTTCTGGCAGAGTTTCATAACAATGGCGGAACGTTAGAAGGGCAGTCACTGAATGAGTGAGGAAGAAGAGGAGAAAAGAGTAAAGGGGGCTTACGCTACGGCGAAGAAGGAGTAACCGTCTAAGTGGTATGACTGCATGCTCTTCTCGTGGTTCTCGAAGATGACCTCAACGAATGTACGGAAGGTAATGTTGAGGACATTCGGCTCGACGGTCAATCCCGTGATCTTGCCTGCAGGCTCATCCTTGATGACGTTGTACTTGAAGACCTTCTCGGCCATCTGGAAGTACTCAGCAAGCTTCAATGGAGTCTCGGTATCGATGTGGGAGACACCGTTGAATCCAAACCTAAGCTTTCTATCCACAACCTTCTGGGAGTTGACGAGCTTGATGGTTCGGGTGATGTTGATCTTCCCGTAATGGTACGAGCCCTGAGGGTTTGGCCTGGCTGCACTGGCGGTCAGGTTCCACCTGAAGGACCTGAACTGGTTCAGTGACCATGCCCATCCGACCGGTGCCTTGGGAAGAACAGGAGAAGCCTGGCCTTGTCCCCCTTCGTACCGGATCAGACCGGTGCCACTCAACTGCTTCTTGAGAAACCGTGAGGAAGCGACCATGTAATAATCAGTAGCGGTCTGGTCGGCAGTCACGAGAACGGCAAAACACTGCCCGACATGGACGTCGAGGGAGTCGTAGTCGTTCTGGAGAACGTGAGAGCCTTCCATCTCTACGAGCTTCATCTTATGGTTCTGGATCCTGAAATTGAGAGTGGACTTGAACCCGACATTGCAGATCCTGTACTTGTAGGTCTTCCCGAGTTTCATCGTGAACAAAGGCTGATCCTTCCCATCCATCTTGGCAGATTTTCCGTTGATGAGGACGCCGTCGGGGGACCCGAGGGCACGGCCGCTGTCGAGGAGGTTCTTGAGGGAGGTGTGGGATTTGGTGTACCAGTCGGAGATGAGGACGGTGTAGTCATCCTCGGGGTCGGGGTAAGGGACGGGGATGAGAAGACGGCTGTTGACACGGAGGCCGCCGAATCCACCGGAGAAACGGTGGAGGGAGGTGGAAGGGTAGTAGAAGTAGCTTCCGATCTGATCCTTGGGCTGGAAGTGGTATGTGAAGTTCTGCCCGGGCATGATGGGGCATGTCGTTGCGGGCAGCCCGTCTTGCCAGCAGTTCTTCCTGTGCTGGATCCCGCTCCTGCCATGTCATCATTTCCACGTGTCATTTGTCGAAATCGAACCCAATGATATAATATTTTTTAATAGAAATCGAATATAAAAATAATTTGAAAAAACTAAATCTAAAAAATTAAATTCTTTTATGAATATAAATGGGAACGAAATAGAAATCTTTTACGAGTAAAAAGAGAATGGAATTCAGGAATTGATTTCTATATAAATACAAAATTGTTATAATTTTTTAACTTTTTAGTATGAAAAATAAATTATTATGAATTTTTTAAATCGAAAAAATTGTGAACCAAATATACAAAGAATAACAACAAATCTAAACCTATTCAGATGAAATAACACATAATTATATATAAAAACTGTATGGTAATGTTTTTTTTTTATTTTGAAAAATACGAATATAAAAAATAAAATATATCGAAACCTAGAATCAAACCCATATTTGTTACAATTAATCTAAATGGAAACACGCACCAGTGGAGGAGGAAGGGCTCGTCGAGGTTGTTGAAGACATTGATGACGATGTTGTTGTTGGAAGTGGAGTTGATGTTGGGACCTGGGAACTGACCGTTTATCAGAATCACCTGTTGTGGCACTCCCAGCGGAGATGCTGTTCCGTACGATACGTTCCACGTGTAATAAAAGTACGGATCTCCCGCCTTCACCGCCGCCACCGCCGCCAGACACAGCACCGCCGCCAACATTATCTTCCCCTCCATCCGCCCTTTTTATAAATTTTTTTAATTAATTAATTAACCCTTTTCCTAACCAAAAAAATAAATTAAATAGATATTATATTTTTTTTATTGTTCCTCAAAAGCAAGGGGAAACTGAGTTCTCCTGCTCTTGACGATTCTTCAAACTTCCCCAATGCAACCGTATTTATACGGCGTAGCCCACTAATTCTACGCCCTTCCACGTTTTGCGCTTTATCTCTGTATCTCATATATATATATATATATTTATTTATTTATTTTAATTTTGTTGAACGAGCACCACTCGGATCTTTTCCTAATTTTGGAACGAAAGACTTGGCTACACGGAAAATACACAAAACTCTTGTTTGGAATTCTTTCACGTAGATTGATGAATTAAGAGAGACTTTTGCTGTCATGTTGTGTGAACACATGATGCACACGACTTTATATTTTTTACGATCGAATGAGTTTAGAGAATTGATTTTTAATACAAATTTTTAGTATGTAAAGAAAATTAAATTATATATATATATCAAAAAACAATAATAATAATAATAATAATAATAATAATAATAATAATAATAATAATAATAATAATAATAATAAAGTTGGTCCATGCATGTTAATGCACGTACACTAAATCAAATCCCTTTGAAAAAATATATATAAGAACACCCAAACTATATATATATCTTGTAACTAGATAAATTAAGAACTTTAGTTTTTGTTATATTGAGTATTTTCCGTTCCGATTTCGAACCTCGATTAAATTTGGGGAGAGGGTGTATATACCAAATTATATGGCTAAACCTCGACTCCGAGATTAATTCTGAGCATTGGTTCATGACACTCAGTTAACAAAAAAAAAAAAAGATGATACACCGTCCCTAGTTCTCTTCTCCCTACACTAAAAATAAGTTCTCCACAATATAATTATAAACAAAATTAAAAATAAAAGGGGAAAAAGGGGACCCGCAGAAATAAGAACACCCAAAAATAGACAGAGACAGAGGTGTGGTTTTTTGTTTATACGGACGAGCGGAAGAGGGCAATGAGAGGGCCGAAGAAGGCGAGAAATTCAAGGAAACTCACCCATCCCATTCTCCAAATTTCCCTTTATAAAAACACCAAATTGATGCCGAATACTCACAAATCCGATCCCCCAAAAAAAAATACAATTAATAATTTTTAAAAACCCCCCAAAAAAAAAAGAAAAAAAACGAAAAAAAAGTTTGGGTAATGGGAGGGGTGAAATTCGTGGCGGTGCTGCTATGTATGGTGGCGGCGGCTACGGTGGAGGTGAAGGCAGAGGATCCGTATTTCCACCACGTGTGGAACGTGACGTACGGAACAGCATCTCCGCTGGGAGTTCCACAACAAGTGATTCTGATCAACGGTCAGTTCCCCGGTCCTAACATCAACTCCACCTCCAATAACAACATCATCATCAATGTCTTCAACAACCTCGACGAGCCCTTCCTCCTCACCTGGTATTCTCTCTCTATATATATACACACACACATATATCCATCTTTAAAAAAAAAATTAGAATCAAAGTATAGTTAAAAGGATACGGTTAATTTAGATTATCTAAGTTTATAGTTATGGACCAAATTAACATCTTATAAAAAAATGTGGAATACATTATAAAATTTTCTAATTTTTATGAATAGAATTAGAAATCAAAACTTTATAAAACTGTACCGATCCCTTGTTAAAATATAAATTAATCCTCTCAACTCTCGATCCATTCTATTCGCGAATGAATCCATCTAAGATTTTGTTTCATCATTCGATTATATTTCTTAACAAATTCAACATTTTAAAATTTATAAAAAAAATATATAAAATTTTGATTATGGATTGGTATTTTTCCATACAGGAACGGGATCCAACACAGGAAGAACTCGTGGCAAGACGGGACATCAGGCACGATGTGTCCGATCCCACCTGGCTCCAACTTCACCTACCATTTCCAACCCAAAGACCAGATCGGAAGCTACTTCTACTTTCCGACCACCGGCCTCCACCGCGCCGTCGGCGGCTTCGGCGGTCTACGTGTCAACAGCCGTCTCCTCATTCCCGTCCCTTACGCCGACCCTGAGGACGACTACACTGTCCTGATCGGCGACTGGTACACTAAATCTCACTCCGCCTTGAAGAAATTCCTCGACAGTGGCCGTTCCCTCGGCCGTCCCGACGGCATTCTCATCAACGGAAAGTCGGGAAAATCGTCCGACGGCCCGATCTTCACCATGAAACCCGGAAAGACATACCGTGTAAGGATCTGTAACGTGGGGATTAAGACATCTTTGAACTTCAGGATACAGAACCATAAGATGAAGCTTGTCGAGATGGAAGGATCGCATGTTCTTCAGAACGATTACGACTCTCTGGACGTCCATGTCGGCCAGTGTTACGGGACCATCGTGACCGCCGACCAAGACCCGAAGGATTATTACATGGTGGCTTCGACCAGGTTCTTGAAAAGTGTCCTGACCACGACCGGAGTTATCCGGTACGAGGGCGGGAAAGGCCCGGCTTCGTCCGAGTTGCCACCGGCTCCGGTCGGATGGGCGTGGTCACTGAACCAGTTCAGATCCTTCAGGTGGAACCTGACCGCCAGCGCAGCCAGGCCGAACCCTCAGGGCTCGTACCATTACGGGAAAATCAACATCACCCGAACCATCAAGCTCGTGAATACTCAAGGAAAAGTCGACGGAAAACTCAGGTACGCAATGAGCGGAGTTTCCCATACCGATCCCGAGACACCGGTGAAGTTGGCCGAGTACTTTGGGATGGCCGGCAAGGTTTTCAAGTACAACGTTATCTCGGACAACCCTAGTTCAGACCAGATCAAGAACATCAAGATTGAGCCCGTGGCATCTACCAGTACACCTCGGACTTTTAGTTGCAGAGACTGCAAGCATCACAAGAATATAAACCCAATTCAATTTCACACTTCCTGTCTTCTTCGGATCAATGCCTCATCAAGCGTTAACAAATTACCTCCAGGTACAGACAGCCGCTAAGCAATTGTGCCAGGTTAGCTTGAAAAAAGAGCGTCCAGTCTTGGCACATTGACGGTTACGCATTCTTCGCTGTCGCGTAAGTACACGCCATCATAATTTCTTGCATCACAAGTAACCCTAAAAACCCTAATTTCCTTGCCAAACACGCAACCTTTCAAACAAACAAAGGATCCATCTTCTACGTACATCCATGAAACGTGCATATATATGTACATAGACGACCAAACTCCAGACTTGAACATTTTCATGTCTGATACATACATATACATGTATATATATACACACGCAGGATCGAGCCGGGGAGGTGGACACCGGAGAAGAGGAAGAACTACAACCTGTTGGACGCGGTGAGCAGACACACAGTGCAAGTGTTCCCAAAGTGTTGGGCGGCGGTCTTAATGTCATTCGACAACTGCGGAATGTGGAACGTCAGATCTGAGATGACGGAGAGGAGATATTTGGGACAACAGCTTTACCTCAGCATTCTCTCCCCGGAGGCTTCCCTTAGAGATGAATACAACATGCCCGACAACAGCCTCCAGTGTGGTCTCGTCAAGGGCCTGCCCAAACCTAAGCCTTACGCTGGAGCCTAATTATGGTTTTTTTTTATTATTATATCGATTGTTGAGGCATTTGATTCGGACCGACTCAGAAATGTTTCTTTTGTTTTGGTCTTTTGATTATTTTGGATGTGGACCCTATTTAATCTTATGATTTAAAGGATGTATATGGTTATTCATATACATATTCATGAATTGAATTCAGATGCATGTTTGTATGTATGTCTATCACTACCCAGAGTTCTTTTTTTTTTCCTCATATTGTTAACACATAACTTCAATGAAATTCGCTTGTTCTGAATTCTTACAGTATTGTTATTATACATTGTATTTTATTTCTTCTCCTTCCTTTGTTGTTACACATTTATGAATATGATGGTCCAAACCTGAGTATCAGAGAGCCTAAAACGTGTGAAACCAAAACCCTAAAACCAGCCACTTTGATTCACAACATCCGGACATAAGGAATAATTTACAAGATGCGTACATCAAAGAGGATGGTTGCAGATTTCATCGTTACAAAGAGATTCAGCGGTGTAAATGCGTATGGAACTCCCACCCGTCGTAGCATCCAAACTCGCAACCGTCAAAACACAACGTGAGCCATGGTCTCTCCCCGCTTACCCTAGCCGTGACCACGTCTTTCCGGCCTGCCAACCGTGTCTGACCCAGCCCGAGCCAATGCAGACCAGGGAACGAGGGTTTGCTCAACCATCTCAAGGCACCAGCCGAAAGGCTGACACAGTTATGGACATCGAGCTTACGCAGTTGTTTCCCTCCTCCTGGATTCCTTCTCCTTGTACCCAGTGTCTCTATCGAATAATCAGTAACGTAGAAGCAGCTTCTGAGGCACAGTTCGGTTAGTTCCTTACAAAAGAGAGAGATGGTGCTAACGGTTCTGTCCGTTATTCCCGACATGTGACCCAAATCAAGGGTCGACAAGGTTTTGCTCATTGTACCGTCGCTTTTCAACAGAAAGGATATTCCTCTGTCACTGACCCTCTTGCAGCCTCGGAGGGATAATCGGGTGATGGGCACGTCTGCCTTACTAAGAGCAAACAGACCTCCATCTGTTACATCGGCTCCCATGAGATTCAGACAAGTTAACTTTCTCAGGGATGATACGGATTGGAGGCATGAATCAGATATGCTTCTGCAGCCCCCCAAGTTAAGCACCTCTAGATTGCTGCATAACGCCACTTTCTTCACGGCTTCGCTGGTTATGAGAGGGCATGAGGAAAGTCTGACCTCTTGAAGAGAACAGGAAGCTCCAGTGATGTCGTGGAATGCCAAATCAGACAACAAGAATGCACCTTGAACTTCAAACTTTTTCAAGTTCCGACATGAGTGAAGGAGAGAGGCAAAACCCGCGTCGCTGACTTTTGGGAAACCCCCAAGTCTCACTGACTCTAGACCCTTGCAAGCCTCAGAAAGGAGAAAGATACCCATGTCGTTTATTCTTTTGAATGATATCTTACGGTCACAAGAAGTCCGTACCAGAGAGAGGCTTGTAAGTCGTTGACAACAACCCAAAGACTGAAGCCCCGTGTCTGTCAAGTCATTTTGCGGAAATGGTTCCTTTTCAGGACAGTCTTCCAAGTCCAGAGTGACAAGTTGAGGTAGAGAACCCGTGATAGCTATGATTAGCCTGTCAGATATCAAGTCTAACACAAGCGACAGGCTTTGCAAAGAGAATAAAGGCGAAAGAGAAAGCGGGGCACTATAATTGGTTCTAGAGAGAAAATTCCCAGTAACTTTGAATCTGTTCATGAGAAGAATTGCCTCGGACTCCAGCACTGGCTGTAACCTCAGAACTTTGACTGTTTCTGGCAAGAAGAACCTAATTGACTGGAAAGTAGTGGCATCTACCAGTACACCTCGGACTTTTAGTTGCAGAGACTGCAAGCATCACAAGAATATAAACCCAATTCAATTTCACACTTCCTGTCTTCTTCGGATCAATGCCTCATCAAGCGTTAACAAATTACCTCCAGGTACAGACAGCCGCTAAGCAATTGTGCCAGGTTAGCTTGAAAAAGAAGGGGTGAATCCTGGTCTGCCAATTCCAGGGTAAGAACCCTGTTACATTTCCAAGGTGTACACATAATTATTCACTGTCACAAATAATCCTAGCTCCATAGAGTCAAAACAGACACCAGGAACATGATAACTCAACCTTGGGAAACATGAAACACAATGCTAAAGAATAATAATTGATGGTGGTCACTAAGCTACTGGAAAAGTTTGAGCAACCTTCTACACTACCGCCTCGAAAGATTGTCATATTCCACATCTTTACACGATTAGGCATATCCTTATTGATCAAAATTGATCATTAGTCTCAACCCAAGTACTGACTTTGGAATCGAAATGCCGATCATTAGCCTCTCTAGGTAAAGACACTCAGAAGAACTTAAATTTCACAGCAGGAACGGTATTTGAAGACCTTACATAGGAGAAATAGCACACACACATCGTAACAAGCATGAATATTTCATGAAGGTACCAATCCTATCTCACGTAAACGAGGAAAAGTACCGGAGATTTGGGCAGCTCTGGCCAATGGAAGTAAGCACCGAGGAGGAGAGAAGTGAACACCTAAGCAGGTGAAGCTCCCGCAGATGCGGTCCAAGAACTCTACCGATGGCGGCGGCGTCAAGGCGGAGACAGTTAACAGTTAGGGTTCTTAGTCCGACGCAGCCATGGAGCACGCGATTCAAAGTCTCATCGTCCAGAGACAAAATCTACCATTAAAAACATTAGTGAAGAAGATCAATCTCATTCGGGAAACATTTTGTGGGACGAAAAACGACGAATCGCAGAGAAATCGGAAGCTCACGGAGAGATCGAGAGAAGAGAGAGAAGGGAGAACGCCAGAGACGACGGCAGAGTGGAGCATGGTGGAGACGCACGCGACGGAGCAAAGAGTCTCGAGATCCAAACGCTTCAGTATCTCCTCCGTCAACACTGTTCTCGTCACCTCCTCCATGCCTGATTCTGATTTGTTCTTCAAATTTCTGGATGGTCTCCTCTTCACTCTTCAAGGCTTCAAGCCGATACGGACACGCGGAGGAGTGTTTGGTTACAGGTTTAGTCAGATCCACACCGATACGGATATGGGGAATGGTATTTGGTTATAGGTTTAGTCATATCCTGACTCGGTTAAGCACGACCCGAAGTACCCCCAACGAGCCCGGTACAAACATTGGTCCGGTTTGAGCTCTTCAGACAATGCGACAAAATAAATTCTTATCATGTAACGATGGTCAAACATTGTTAAACTGGGCACTATAATTCAAATTCTGTTTGAGATAACGAATCGAGGTTATCAAAGTATAAATCTTATATGGCTAATAAACCGAGAAAACAAAAGACCGGTTGACATCATATGAACCGGTAACATGAAAACTGATGGCCGGTTTGTTGGTAAATCAGGAAGCATGGAGAGGCCGGTTACCGAGAGACAGCCGATTCATAATTTCTTGGTATACAGATGAACCGTTGGAGAAGTTAAGAGAAGCCACTGCCGGTTCAACCTTCGATAACGTGAAAACCGATGACCGGTTCGTTGGTAAATGGGGAAGCTTGGAGAGGCCGGTTATGTATAGGTTAGCCAAACTGGTTTGGCGCATTCCAAGGTATCCCGGCTGCTGGTACCTCATACCGAGTTGACTGAGCGGTGAAGGCCTGGTTGACTGAGACTGAGCTGGAGGTCGTACCAGACCGAACCGGCCGGTCGAACCGGGGCGGCCGCATGTGCGCGGTGGAGGGACATCATGGTTGTGTTTCCCTTCGTACGTAGTGATGACTGATTTGATGTCTTGAGATGCTCTCTCGACATGTTTCCTCACATTGCAGCCTGGAGTCGTGCATTTGTAGTAACTCCTGCATCAATTTTTAAAAAAAAATACAAAAAACATAATAAAATCTATAGAATGTATAACGATTAATTATGATGTTTTTTTTTTCAATTTGAAATTAAGTAGTAGTTATATTAATAATAAAAAAAACCTTGGATTAGGATTGCCCTTGACGATCTTTTGGCCGTACTTGCGCCATCGGTAGCCATCGTCGAGGACGTCGACATCACTTGTGGTTTGAACAATGATCCTTGGCCTCCGAGCTGCTCTTGTGGCTCCAATCATACTCGACAGTTCAAGTTGTTTCCTGTATTTCGACGATAAGTTTAGCTTGAAACGGTAATGATTTTCGGTTTACGAATATCGTGTAATTAAGATAGATTTCGCTTCGGAATTTTGTTAAGAATTTTTCTATTTGAAGATTAAATGATACCGTTGTAGGAAAGGATCGTAGAGCGACATTTGCGTAACGACACATCTATTTCCTTAAACCAATTTGGTTTTATACTCGGAATGTCTATAATGGAAGCAATCTTTCTCATTCGAAACTTGATGGTGAAGTTTCGAGATATGAAGAAAGATTTGCACATGATATTTATTGATCTCAAAAAAGCTTATGATCGAGTACCAAGAGAGGTTTATGGTGGGTGGTAGAGCGTAGGGGAGTATCGGTAAGATACATACAAATATTGAAGGATATGTATGATGGTGCGACTACTAGTGTCCGGATAACAAGGGGTGACACATGAGATTTTTCTATCTCGATAGGGTTGCACCAAGGGTCCGCTTTAAGTATGTACCTTTTCGCGTTAGTCATGGATGAACTGACTAGAGATATACAGAAGGAAGTACCGTGGTGCATGATGTTTGCGGATGATATCGTGCTAATAGACGAGTCCAAAGAACGAGTAAATGGACAATTAGAGTTATGGAGGAGTACATTAGAGACTAAGGGTTTTAGCCTTAGTAGGACGAATACTGAATACATGCATTGTGACTTTAGTGGCAGGCGCTCTAGTGATGTTGGAGTTATCTTGTAAGGAATATCAGTACCTCAAAACCCCCATTTTAAATATCTTGGGTCAATCCTTCAAAAGAATGGGGGTTGCGACGAAGATGTTAGTCATAGAATAAAAACGAGATGGATGAAATGGAAGCCATGCGGCCAAGCTTTGTGATCGTAAGATTCCCCTACGATTGAAAGAAAAATTCTACCGTACCGTCATAAGACCTGCATTATTGTATGGTAGCGAATGTTGGGCGGTGAAAGGGCAACATATATCTACAATGAGTGTGGCCGAGATAAGGATGTTGAGATGGATATGCGGACACAAAAGGATGGATAGAATTAGAAATGAGATTATTATAAAAAAATAGGAGTAATAGGTATTGAAAAAAAGGTATGGGAAGGGCGTTTAAGATGGTTTGTACATGTATAACGTAGGCCAATAGAGTTACCGGGTAGAAAAGTGTAGAGTATAGGTATAGGTTGAAAAAAAATGAAGAGGTAGACCTAGACTTACTTGTGAGCGTTCATTAGAAACGATTTGGAAGTGTTGCAGATTCCGAAAGAGTTAACCCGGGACCGAAATGAGTGAAAAAGAAGGATTCATGCGGCCGACCCCAAATAAAATTGGAAATAAGCATGGGCGGACCCATGTAGAAGATAGTGGGGGGCATTGACCCCCACTTTTAAATAAAAAAATAAGTATTTTCTTTATAAATTATATAAAGTTTTAATTAAAATCGTTCAATATCCCCGTAATAAAATTAATTTTGTTTCTCCAATTATAGTTTATGCCCCCAATTAATGTTGTTGTAGTTGTAGTTGAAGATTAAATGATACCCTTCATTTTGAAGGGTATGTGATCATTCATCTTATATCTCTTTTCAATTGCTAAAGGCATCCCCATTTTGTGAGAGAAAAAAACTATTATATATATATATATATACTTATCATATTCTGGATCGTGAAATAATAATTCCAATTTCAATAATCGAAATTTGACCAAAGATTTTAATCAATCACATGAAACGTGTATCTTTGATCTGTCTCTTAAAATTTTCTTACGAATTTGAACGCACCTTTTCTTTGGTTTGGAGGAATTGACCTCTTCTCCTTCACTGCCATGGACAGTGCGATTGTAGCTGCCGCCATGATCAGCATGATCATCATCATCATCACCATGATCGTCATCGTCATCATCTTCAGCTTCGTTGGAAATCAATAATGGAGAATCTGCCGGATCGAACTGAGCTTTCATCGATTCAGATGAGCTGCAATCTTCTCCTTCGTCCACCACTGCTTTGTCATTATTTCCTGTCACAAAACGTAACACAAGACTTCGATAACATAACAAATTAAACATTTTAATTGAATTAACATAATGGTGCATATATTATATGGTGTATATATGTAAATCGGTGGATATTAATTCACACCCAACCTCTCATCTTGTCCTCTGATGAACACATATCGGTATCTTGGGTCTGAGGGTTGTTTATAGATGCTCTTAAAGTATGATCATTTACATTGTCGGCTCCGGGATTCTTGTTTATCGACCATGAGGCCTCGATCTTGAAGAAAACGACGACGTTATGAATCCATCGATCGATGTAAATTAAAATGTGAATCAAACTCTGGTTAGGGTCAAATATTGCAGATGAAACATAACCAATACATATTAACCAACAACTTACATTGGTTTTTGTCTCTTGGGCAGACATCGCAAAGGATGATGAGAGATCGACATTGTTTTCACCGACTGTTTCCTTAAAGAGCGATTTACTTCCATTACCAGTAGCAGGCGGAGACAAATGAACCTAAGAATTATTAATAACTCAGATAACCGAAAAAACCCGAATCCAAGAACCAATAATGTGGAAAACCGTACGTATTTAGGGACGACAGAGATAGGTATATAAGAGAAATGATGTAAATACATTGTTTGTAACCTAGGTTTAGACATTGTATATTTCTGTATAATATATATACGATGTATATACACTCTCTATGAATTAAAATACAAGGAAATACGTATCTTATTGGCGTACCAGTGGATTAGAAAGCATGACCGGAGATTGGAGAAGAAAGGTTGGGCTGAAGCCAGGTGAGATTATGATGTAAGGAGAAGGGACAGTACTAGGACCAGAGTTCATGAAACAACCGAAAGGTCTTCTTACAATGTTGTCTGTGTTCAATCTCGGAGCACTGAATCCTCCCGTTCTCGCAGCTATTCTCTCGCTCAAATTCCCTTCACGACGTCGAGCCCTAGATCTCTGTTCATCGATTCCGACATGATCCAGTTTCTGAACATTTTCCGATGATTCCTTAACCTCGACGCCGTCCTTCGTGAACAGCAGCGTTCTTGGGCTAGGGCTGGATGGTGACCACTCGCCGAGTTCATCCATTCAGATCAAGAAATGATCCAATTTTTTTTATTAAAAAAAAACCCTAATCGCAAATTGTGGAATTCAAGTCAATAGGATATAAAAGTAATAAGCTTTGGATAGAAAACAATATTTATCATGGCATGAACATGTTAGGGTTTTCTTCATGATTCATCTACAGATATGTATGCATGCATGCATGAATGTGCGAGTGACACATCAAATGATTGATAAGTAAATATGATTTGAACTCTTTATCACCTTAATTATTGGTTGAAGAACAAAAAATAATAATGGGAGAGTTTTTTTTTTGTCTGTGTAAAAGGGTCAAGGGAGAATACAAAGTGATAAGATATGCATTATGGTTCCTCTTACTTATATTTATTAACTACGTCTCCCTTTTTTTTAAAAAAAGTAAATTAATTATGGGTTTGCAATTGTAATATTATGGTAACAATTTTTTGTAACGGTCAAGTGTCAAAAAAATGTGAATTACTTGCCTAATTTAGATGGTGCAATTTGTCATTTGCATTCCAAGATTTTTCTCCAATGTTTTTTTTTTTTGTCTAATTCTCAAAAACAATTTCAGCATATATTAATGTTTCGATTTTTTTATACGTATAAGAATGATTTTAGATATTTGCTGTGACATATTTTATAAACTAAATAATGGGCATAAGATCAGAATATTAGATGGGCAATATGTTAAATTTAATTTAGCATTTATCCTTTGTTGGCAAATAGGAATCAATCAAGTATGAACAGAAGGGTATGGAAGAAAAGACAAAAATAAGAAAAACAAATGTTGACCGAAATTATATAGCAATATAACAAAATGGTTATACGTAAAATTTTCCTTTTAGGGGGAAAGCAGGGAAATTCATGCATCTAAATCATATGAATATAACAGGGTGGTGTATTAACCACATGTAGAATATATAATATGTTTTTCCTACATAGAAATTTATAATTACTTATAAATATCTCTGTTTCCGAGGAAAAATATATCTTCAAACACTGTAAAAAACAAGATTTTATGAGATGTGGTGAAACAATAATTGCGTAACAATAGACCAGGAAAAAAAATGCAATACAAATTTCATAAATGCACGAATATAATGAACAGAAGAAAAAAAAGGACGCGTGAGACCCAAATTACATCCAAATTTATGAATAATAATAATAATAATAATAAAAGATAATCTCAAAAAAATAGTCAACTTTATAATTTTGATAAAAAATACCGAACTTTTATTTTTGTCAAATAAACATTAAACATTTTAAATAAATTTAAAAAACACTAAATTTTTTAAATGATCCAAAGAAATACATAAATTTTCATGTGATTGTCAAAAAAAATACTAAACTTTTTAAATAATTCAAAAAAATACATAAATTATATATAGTTGTAAAAAAAAACCAACGATAATAATTTGACATGTTTGCATCTCCATGTCACCTCATTAGTTTATTTTGACAATCCTAAAAAGATTAAGTGTTTTTTTACAAATTTTAAAAGTTTAATATTTATTTGATAAAATCAAAATTTTAATATTTTTTTATCAAAATTAAAAAATTCAATATTTTTTTGGATTTTTTTATAATAATAATAATAATAATAATAATGAAAAACTAAGACTTGAAGTGTCTTGAGAACATTGTAACTCTGATAAACTAGAATACCTTTTCGCTGTTTTGTTATATGATGGAAACAATGTTTCAGTTTTCATATACAAAATCTTCTAAAACTACGATGAACATTATTTTGGGGGTACATCTATATAACGTTTCCCTCTCTCTCCGATTGTATCGTATCCTTAATGGCCATTCAAACCAACGTCTTCGCGCATCTCTTTCGTCGATCTCCTACGTTTCATTTCATCTCTGCATTACGCAAAACAAAAGAAAGAAGAAACAAGAAAACCCCAGTTTAGCACTATTATGAACAAACATACAAACCAAATATCGATCTCGGTTCGGGTTGAGTTATATTTGGTTTCGATTAGTGCACATCATAAAAAAAAATTATAACAAGATCAGTTGAATCGGTTTGAATTCGGTCCGTTTCCAATTTTTTTCCTACAACAATACTCGTTTTCTCAAAACAATTTTTTTTGTTTTTTTATGTGGTTTGGTTCAATTAGCATTTGGTTTTCTCAGTTTTAAGAAAATCACAATGACTCGGTTTTTATATCAGATTCGGTTCAAATATGTAATATTCAGTTCGGTTATTCAATTATTAACCAAATTGGCCATCTATAGTTAAACGAGATTGCTATCTGAAATAACAAATAGCGAATGGGTAAAATATCCAAAATACCCTCCTTTTGTTAAATCTATTTCTGCACATATCCTCTTCCACGTGTGACCATGTGATGTGACCAGAATAAATATATGATCACATGATGGTCACATTAATCACAACGTTAAATTTTTTATGATTTCACCAAGTGATTAGTGTGATATGTAAGGTGTGACCATGGTGACTTGGTGTGATCACTATAAATTAAACGTTATGACCAATGTGAACATCATTTGATCATACAGTTATTCTGTTTACATGGTCACATGTAGAGGAGGATATGTGCAGAAGTAGATTTAACAAAAGGAGGGTATTTTGGATAATGCCCCTACCGAATGAGATCAAGACCCGAAAGTAGAAACATTTACCTGAGAAAAACCGAGATGGAATCGTAATAAAGAATCCCGACCAATCTCCGTCTCTTCTTTCCGTTACGAGGGTCCCCTCCTCCGCCGCTCCGTTTGACAACAGGCAACTGCTTAACGCCTCTAGCCTCCATCAACTCCATGGCAACTCCCACCGTCGTGTCTGGATAACACGTCAGTATTCCCCGTTCTTGACCTCGATAGGTTATTTTCCGTGTGCATACCAACGAGACAGGACTCGAATACTCCTACAGAAGAGTTTCACTCAGATGAGTTTAAATTCGTAACCGAGAAAAATTCATACAGATTTGTTTAAGAAGGTGTTTAACATACATCTAATGCTATTGGATCATTCTTGGATGAATACCGTCTGATGTCGCTGCTCGTTAGGATCCCGGCTAGCAAATCATCGTCATCAACCACGAGAACACAGTTCTGGCGGCTTTCCTTCAGGAATTTTCTCGCTTCTCTTAGAGTTGTACCGAGCGAAACATTCACATAGTTCTTCGACATTACCCGAGAAACCTGAAAACACCAAAACCAGACAGCATGTGTACTCGTTCTAGAAAGATAAATTACGAGAATCTAACACACGATGAAATCTTTGTATACGAGACCTTTACGCATTCCAGAATAGCTTCTTCGTCTAGGGTTTTGTGGTCAGTGTTCTCTATGACAGAAAGCTCCAGGGAATCAGCACCATCCGCCTGCCTCCATCCGCCTCCGTTTTTATGTTCGGCCGATGAAACGGAAGAATACCTTCTCCCTGTGTTCCGAACATCGGATGCATCGCCCTCTTTGCCTTGATTTGCCACTGAGGGAACCCATATTGCTAACCCAACAGCTCCCTGTTCATTGCAATCGATGAGGAAAATCATATCAAGAAAAGCTTAAAAGTGCCACAAATTCATAAAAAAAAAAAAATACAAATACTACAGTTCACCGAATTAATATTCTTCCTCGATATAAAATGATGGTTGCATTGCTCTTATCCTTTGTAAACTAGCTTGGGACTTTAAGGCCAACAAAAGGATGAAAGTTGGAGCATTCTAATATTGTTCTGATGAGTTTCCCCATGATATCCAGGAAAAAAAAGTTTATAACCCAACTCTAAGGGACAAGAAAAAAAAATTGAGAGGGGGTGGGGGAGAAGATTTACCATGAGAGGAAGCAGTATTCTATAATCTTTCGTCAGTTCGAATAACAGTAATACTGATGTTAAGGGCACCGAGCAGACCGAAGCTAGGGTTGCAGCCATTCCAACCTGCATCAGACTTTTTCACGTCACTGATCCGGTTATAACGAGTTGGGCAACACTGAAATCAGAAAGTTGCTATGAGATTAGCAAAAGAAAAAACTTACCAGGGCATAAGCTTGAGGCTGAGCAACAGCAGTGTTTCCGGGAATAGCTCTGTTGATGATTTCAGCTGCTGACCCTCCAAATACAGCGCCAATGGCAGCACCGATCATCAAACTCGGGGCATATAGACCGCCTACAAGCCCAGAGCCTTTGCACAGAGCAGTTGCCACTACTTTGGCAGCGGCTAACTGACTCAATAACCATATTCCAGGAGCTGATGCGCTCTTTCCCGTATGTAGAATTTCCTCAACATCTGAACCTCCAAATACAGCGCCAATGGCAGCACCGATCATCAAACTCGGGGCATATAGACCGCCTACAAGCCCAGAGCCTTTGCACAGAGCAGTTGCCACTACTTTGGCAGCGGCTAACTGACTCAATAACCATATTCCAGGAGCTGATGCGCTCTTTCCCGTATGTAGAATTTCCTCAACATTTGTGAAGCCCCAGTACAGAATTCCAGGGTACTTGAGAGCAATCATACCGGCACCTAAGCCACCCAATGCAGGGCAAACAATAGCAGGAAGGCCGAATTTGTCTTTGATGAAGTCAAATGACTTGGTAAACCATGTGACAAGGCGAGAAAACACAACGCTGACAGCACCACACAACATGCCTAATATCAGGTACAGAGGGAGTTCTGGAGACAAAAGTGAAAACACCCATTACAGTAAATAACATCGATCTTCAGTATTTTAATGTATCAAAGTACTTTATCATGGTTATCTATCCAATCAATCTCAGATCTCATACTACTCGGAAGTCAGAGAGGAAGTTAACAGGTTAAAAGAAACAAACCCGCAGCAGACTTCAAGTCGTATGAAGGGACCGTGAAAGCTGATTGAGTCCCCATCAATGCATTTGACACAGTAGATGATATAACAGAAGCCAAGATTATCATTGCAGTGGTAAATGGAGGCGAATTCTCGGCACGGAGAGGTCTTAAGACAGTCTCTATAGCAAAGAAACAACCAGCCACGGCTGCATTGAAACCTGAAGCGAGAAGAAAGAAAAGTCAAAAGAGGTGAATTCAGATACTTAAACATCAACGGCATAACGAAATTATATTGCTTTACTACTCCAGCTCCGGAATTAGTGGTTTCAAAAGAGGTATTATATTCAATATGATCAGAAAGATAACCTGATGCAATCCCAGAAGCTGCACCAGCAGCAGTGAGAGCTATTCTTCTTTCTCTATTGTTTTCCATCATGAGTGCAAACCCATTGGCGCATGATTTCCCAATATCAACGCTCGGTCCCTCAGGACCTAAGGAACATCCTGTACCGAGCGTCACAGCAGCTTGGATGGCCTTTATCGTGGGAAATATACCCGCAAGTAGATCAAGTCCTTGCCTCTGAGAAGAAGTGGATTGCCTGATTTGGTCTAAGATTTCAAGCAAACCATGCATCATTCCCACAATAACTCCTCCGGTAACAGGAATTAGAAGAATTCGATGCCAAGTATCTGCTAATCTCTGCAGACGAAGCCAAGCAGCACCCTCGTTCGGAGTACCAGCCCATGCCCACTCATGGATTACGTGAACCTAGACAAAGCAAATTCCACACACTATTCCACGAATCAGGAGGCAAACAGCTAAGCCCAGAATCTAATCCGTAATGATCGATCTGAGATGAGATAACAAAATGCGCGGCGTGATAAGCCAAAATCAAATTGAGAGTCGGAATTGTGATCGTACCCCTGAATTGAAGGCTGCGACGCATATGCCGGCGGCGACACCGATAAGACAGCCGATGAGCAGCAGAGCCCATTCAGGCGGAGCACTGTCGCCGAGAACATCATTACCTTCATCATGCCCGTGCCCGAAATGTCGGAAATCATGATGATCGTCGTCATGTGTATGTCCCACACTGGACGACAACGGCGAAGGAGGAGAAGAAGAAGAGGATGGATGGTGATGCTCTCGATCGACTCTGCTATTTTCCAGACGTGTGAAGCTTAGACGTCGTCCGGAGAGCGAAATTCCCCGATCCAAATGCTTGAACAGATCCCTAACTCCTACTCCACCGCCCCTGATCGGCGGAGACTGGGCTTCAACGTCGCGATCGTCGCAGACGCCGTCGCCGTCATTTGATCGCAAAAGATGCCTCTCCTCGCTGTACTCTCCAGCTCCTCCTCCCAACGACATATCTCTCATTCCTTGTCCCCGTCACGAACGCATCCTCCTCCTCTCGCCGCCTTAGATTTCCGACGAAATTCCGATCTCAGATTGAATCCACCATGGAAATGAATCTACAGCCTCGAAGATTCTTCCCCGATTTTTTCTCAGATTTAATCGGATTCCGAGCCCCTTTTTCCCGTTTCGATCGCAAGACGCTGTAGAGATCATGAATGAAACCTTCTTGACGATCTAGAGTGTCCGATAACTTGGTGGGCCTTATTGAACCTATTTTATTTGTACCTAATTAAATTGGGCTAAGCCCAAGAAATATATTCTCACCCATTAAGACGAACTTTTATATCAGCCAATTTAACGTTCCATTTTATTTATGGAAGATATAGTAAATTTGGACACTGATAAAGTTGAACGTCCAATATTCAAAACTAATTTCATAAAATAAATTATACTTTGGGCAGATTTTGTAATAACTGAACAAGTAATAATTTATGAAGTGAAACTTTGGTGGGTTGAATACGTGTATAAGATATTTTTTGGATGTTTTTTCTCGCCGTAATAATTAGGGTGGCTATTTCGATTATTAACCGAATAATCGAACCGCGAATCGAATTCGACATCAAAACCGAACGGTTATGATTTTCTTAAATCCGAGAAAAACTGAAACCGAACCGAATAAAAAATAACCGGAAAAACCGATAATTTCTTTAAAAAATGAACTTTTTTACCGAAATCGAACCGAAAAATAATTAAAACGAATGGTTATAGTTTTTCTATAGCCGAAATAATCGAACCCGAATATAACCAAATCGAACCCGAACCGAAACCCGAATTGTCCACCCGAGTAACAATTATTATTGTAAGATTTGTGTCTGTGTGTTTGTGCTGTGAGATGGGTATAGTTACACGTCCTTGTCGGTGTGACAATTAGATAGTACCAACGTGATATGGTCTAGTTTCTCTTTGGACGAAAAATAAAAATCTATGGCATTCCGTCAATCAATTAATTATTATTATTATTATTATTATTATTATTATTATTATTATTATTATTATTATTATTATTATTATTATTATTATTATTATTATTATTATTATTATTATTATTATTATTATTATTATTATTATTATTATTATTATTATTATTATTATTATTATTATTATTATTATTATATGTAATATACTTTGCTTACATACATATTAGTGGACGTATCTAAATTTCTAGTGATTACAAAAAAAATAATTTTTTTTAAAGTTGTTTGTTTCCCCTAACAACGTGATTGACCGCATTACCCACAAAAAAAGTGATTGACCGTATAGAAGTTTTGTCCCATAATGTATTTTTTCGTGCCGTTAGTGAATTATTCAGCACATTTCACATATGAAACTAGAATCTTTAATACTATTATTACTGATTTGTTTTAGTTATTTTATTTTATTTTTTTTATAAAAAATTATATATTAAATTTAACCGAATCAATGCGCATATAATCAAATTAAATTAAAACGGTATAATCAAAGTTTGCAATCCACAATCTGGCAAAGTCTCTCGATACGAACTGTAACAAATAATCAAAACATAAAAATGAACGCAGCCAAGAACACAATCTTTAAGTGGTCATAACCGATATAATGCACGTTTGGTCCGACAATAATAATTAAAACAAAAACAATCACAATAGAAATTTAATTAAAAAAAATATTTTTTCTGAAAAAGATCGAGATATTCTTGTACACATAAGACTACGCATGCATATTCATATATTCGTGGGGAATGAAGTTTGATAGACCGACCAAATCTCGTCCCATAATATATTATATTATATTATCAAGATTATAAGTGGTTATAATTTTTATTTTGAGTTTTTTTATTTTATTATTTAGTTTTTTGTTTTTAACTTTTTTGTTTTGGTTTTTGGTTTTATAGTATTTATAAATTCAAAAAATGGAGTTTTTTTATTTTTATTTCATCATTTCACAAAAATAGTTTTCTAAATTAAAAAAAATTACAATTAGATTTTAAAAAACCCAAAAACATGTTCCATTCAACCCCTAATTCTAAAAAAATTTATGTATCTCAGCTATATAGGATTTTATCATAAATCTTTATCACTCAAAATATGGTCTCCTTTATCTGTTTCAATTGTTTTTAATCGACATTTTTTAAAAATTACGAAAACATAATAATATAACCGGATTTTTCTCTTTTTGAATTATAATGATACCCTTTTTTTTCTCAACCAAAAAACACATTAATAACTAGGGATGACCATTTCGGATTTCGGTTCGGTTTTCGATTTGGTTATTTTGGTTCGGTTATTTCGATTATAAAAAAATCATAACCCAATGGTTATGTGAATTAAATCGGTTCAGTTTCGATTCGATTCAATTCAGTTTTAGCACAATAAAATTATAATCGAACGGTTAAATTTGGATCGATTGTTTGTTTTGGTTATATTCGGTTATAAATAAACACTAATATATATAAAATAAATTACAAAAAAAAAATATTTAAAAACTTCGAATTACATCATAATATTAATATTAATCCTTTAAAATTATCAATCTAAACCAAAATACACAATATTAATCTTTCAAAGTACTCAATCCAAATTTTAAATCATAAAATTTCTAAAAATATTCAAAAATTTCAACCTTCACTATTTTCTATCTTCATTTATTTCAAAAAAAATATAATAAATTAATATAATATATATATAAAAATAAGATTTTAATCAAATAAAAAATTAACTTTTTATTATTTATAAATTAAAGGTTGAGATATCAATAAATGTATGAAAATTGAAAGTAAAATTGTAAAAACATTACATAAATATTCAAAATTAAACACTAAAAACTAAATAAATACTAATAACCATTTGGTTAATCACAATTATTCAATTATTAATTGAACCGAATCGAATCTGAACGATTATTGAACTTGTTCAACCGATCGGTTGTTAAACGAATAACCGAACTAAACTGAACGATTATTGAACTTATTCACTTCGGTTCGATTCGCTTAATAACCGAAACGATACCTCTATTCATAAGGTTTAAATTAAAAGTTAAACGCACGTATACAGATAAATATAAAGTATGTGTATATATAGATATACATAATGGCAGTGTAAGTGGGTGTAGGACCCATGGAGCAGACAGACAAGTGCCGCGTCGCTTTCACTTTGAATATAAAATCTTTTGTCCGTTGTTCTTCCACCGTTTTTTTTTTGTTAAAACTATTACTAATGTAATGTTGGTGTCTTTTTTCTATTCAAGCTATGATCGCATTTGTTTATTTTATTATTTACCAAACGCAAGATTTTTCTTACAAGCTTACACGCGCACCACGCGCGCATACAACACGCAAATATATATATATATAATACTATATAATATATATATGCATCGATCGATATACGTGTCCTAATTTTAAAAATTCACAACTGTGAAGTACCATAAACTTCAATTTAAATGTGCCCACTATGACGAAAAAGAATTCCCTTAATACATATAAGGTATAAATGACAACAATATGTATGGATTTAATAATGCAAATAATCCAAACGCTGAAAAGTTCAAGTAAAAACGTTAGATTTTTTCAAATTACCCCTAAATTCATTTTTTTAGACATTTTTCAAGTGATAAAATCTGTTTGAAAATGACAACGATAGTACTATAGAATAACAATAAATGTTTTCCACTGATTGTTGCAAGTTGTTAAACAACTCATCATCGACTGAAACAACCTAATAATCACATCGCATTAATATTACAAAGGAAAATATAGAAAATCTACAAGTTTTTCGAAATATATATATATCAATTAATCCCCAATCGAGCGTATTTAATATGTGTTTTATTCAACGTTTGGTTGGCATTGTGGAAGTTAGAGAAAATTTAAAAAGACATTGGAAAATGTATAAGCAAATTAATTTTATAAGGAAAAAAATGAGTTGGTACGTCTGCACGACGTGGACGGGAGGGATTAACCTAATGTGGAGTGCATGTGCATGCATGCACGCATCTTTTTTGCATGCCCATTTCCAACATCCGAATATATTGAACTCTCTGATGATTTCACATTGTTATACATGCACCGATTATTGAATTCCTAACAATTCAAAACGGAATTTGATATAATTTTCTATATGATTTTGTCATTGATACATGATAATTTAACTTTCATAGAATCCAAGATTATAGTACATGGATGTGGTATTCCGAACTATGAGTGTTGTACCGTTTCGGTTATGATTGCGGGTGTCGACATTTTCACTGCGTTTTTTGGTGATTGTGGACGATTAGTAGTAACTGGTTGATAGTTTGTTGTTCATAGCGATTACGGGTGGTTGTTAGGGGAAACAAACAACTTTAAAAAAAATTATTTTTTTTGTAATCACTAGAAATTTAGATACGTCCACTAATATGTATGTAAGCAAATTATAACCACTTATGGTCCGATTTCATGTGTAAAACGGATTATGAGGACCGGCCCTTTGTGTTGGGAAAATTACGTTACCCACTCAACGTGGAAACAGAGGATGACGTCGACGATATTTAATGTGATTGTTGGAGGAAGCATAAGATTCCAAATTATTCAATGTTGTATAACGTACGGTCCTTATTCCAATTCGGTTATAAATTTATTTCTATCTAATTTCGGCCGGATTCTTTTACATGTTTAGACTTGTTTTCCCTATAAACTTCTAAAATATTTAATTAGGTTTTATTTATTTGTTAGAAACTATTCTTTCCCACCTCAAAATTGTAAGTGTGCTTCGTTATATATATATATATATATATATATATATAGTAGAAATCTTTAATTTTGATATATAAAGGAATCGTAAATATTTATAGAAACACATTAATGCTAAAAACTGTTAAAGACTTAAAATTAGACTGTTTAACTTCTTTGTCAACCCGTAACCTTTGGTTTCGAAGCTTCAATCACGTTTTCATGCAAATACAATAAGACATGCGTCATTACGTGTTACATATACGGGTATATATATATATATATACATGTATCTATATGTGCAGATGTTTGTGTTTGTTACTCAGTGTAAAATAATGATGGATAGGACAAGTGTGCTTACTGAGATATTTGCAGATATATCTGTTTCCGATAAATTTAAAAAGGTATAATTCCATTTAAAATCCTGTAATTTTCTCTCATCTCAATTTAAACTCTATACTTTTTTTTGATCCAAAAAAACATTGTACTTTTAAAAATTGTCAATTAAAACTCTATACTTTTAAAAATTGACAAATAAAACCCTGAACGAAAAACAATATTATTTAATGCTGACATGACATCCTAGTCATCTGCCACATCATCAATCCTTAATATTTAATAATTTAATTAATAAAAAAATAAAAATAAAATAATAATAATAAAAATAAAATTTTAAAAATTATATATATTCATAAAATTATACACATATATAAACATGTTTATAAAAATTTTAAAATTATATACATATATAAATATATTTATATATACATATATACATATATATACATATGATACATATAT